ATATATATATATATAAGTGTATTATTTATTTCTGTTGAATGTTGGCATTGTATTGGGCGGTGTGGGCCGTTGCTGTCTACGCGGGTCTTTCCCTCTACGGCCGTCTCATCATTCCATTCGTCGCCTCTCTCATCTCCCGCCGTTTACCAGGAGGTCCTCTAAATAATGAAAATAGTGAAAAGAATAAAAAAAGTTTAGAGTCTTCAAATGGACGTACACGTCGACGACCACTTCTCGATCCACTCACTCCTATTGATCGTTTCTATATTGCTATTGCCAAATTTCTCACGGTACTCTTCGCCTATCATATTTATATATTTGTGATGAATACACCTCTCAGTCGTATTAATGCGGATTTCACTGATATAGATGGGATCTGCCGTAGTCTTCTTTGGCTTCCATTACATCTCGTCGCTCTCTTTATTATTTATGATTTCTTCTACACACCTTTTCACTTGGCTCTTCACTGGCCTCCACTCTATCCATTTATTCACAAACATCACCACAGACAGATTACACCTTTTCGTGGAATAGAAGATTCTATTAATGATCACCCCATTGAATACATTACGGGTGAATATTTACATCTTCTTGCTCTTTATCTTCTCACACGCATTACACCTCCTGGACAAGTTCATGCGCTTACGGTTATTATTTTTATTTTTATTGGAGGTACATTGGCAGGTTTAAATCACACACGTATTGATGTGCGGGTGCCGTATATATTTAACGTTCGTGCACACGACTTACATCACTTAAAGTTTCACTATAACTATGGACAGTACATTATGCTTTGGGATTGGGTCTTTGGTACTTTTAAGAGTGAACCCGTGAGTGATAAAGAAGATGGAATAGTAAAATAGTAGTGGATTGTTTTAAACTGGTAATTGCTAGGAAAAACTATCAGTCGTAAATAGTAATAATAGTACATTGTTCAGATAGATGTTGAGAGAGAGAGATGACATACCTTTATTTCCGTATATATATATATATATTTATTTATTTATATATTGGTATGGTCGTTGTTGTTTATTATTTTTATTATTTGTTGACAATGATTGTATCTTCTCTGTTTCTATAGTTTGTGTGAGGCCAATGACAAGGAATTAAACACATAAAGCCACAATAGAGTTTCAACGCACATACACACATACATACATACAATTATGAAGGAAAGAATGAAGAAAAAAAGATGAAGATATCAAGAGCAATGGGATTATGGACCAAAAGAAAATAATAAAATTGACAAATTATAAAAAAAAAAAATGCAAATAGTTTTCTTATTACAAAAATAACCTTTTTTTTTTTTATTTTTCTCTCTTGATGGATATGATTAGGGAGAAGAGAGGGTTAGGAAGATACGAAGGGAAGTAAATATTTTTGAACTATCTACCCTTCTAGAAACGTTTACACTAACAACAATAAGAACGACAACAACAATAAAGGCAATAGTTATAATGAAAAAAAAGAAAGAAAGAAAAAGGAAATGGCTGCTATTTTTTTTTTTGCATTTAACATTGTAGTTATTTCACTGCAAGAAGAGTAGAGCTAATGGGAATGATAATACACTTGGAAAAGGAATAATGATAACATATATGGGTATTTGTTTTGGTCGCCTTTGCTTGAAAACAACAACACTATTTGAATCTCCTCACAGTGTATTTGTGTTTGCTCTTTTCTCTCTCTCTCTCTCTCTCTCTTTCTATTTATAGTATGCATTGTTTATCTTACCTTTAGACATACATATATATATATATATATATATATATATATATATATATATATTCATTTTAATTGTAAGGTAGGCATACATTTCTTTTTAAGTAATATACTTGAATATATCAGTAAATATATATAAATATATATATATATTTAGAGACAATGCAGAAAGATAACAACAACAACAACAATACATCTGGTGATGATGATCACTCTGTAGATCGGGCCACTGGAGATGGTAATAAATATCCAATTGTCAACAATAATAATAAAAAAGCTTCCACTTCAGCAGGAGAAAAACTCTCACCGATATTAGGGGAAATGGAAACAACTCCTCATACAGCACCTTTTGAAATGAATGAAGAATCCTCCACACCAACTGCAGATGAGAATAGAAAAAAGAAACGTAATTGTATTGTACATGTGGGATCTCTTATATTAGACACTATTATCCCATACGGTGGAATTCTCTCATCATCATTTAATTTGGCTTCTGCAACTTTAGGTGCTGGTATTACTTCCCTACCCTCTGCTTTTAATTTAAGTGGTATTGTAATGTCTATATTATATATTGTGCTTATTTCCATGGCCACTGTGTACTCTATGCATTTATTGGCTAAAGTGATTCTAAAAACTGGAGTTCGTACATATGAAGAAGCGGCACGTAAATTACTTGGTAGAGGTGCGGATTACTTCTTAGCGGCATTAGTCATGTTTCTTTGTTTTGGTGGATCCGTGGCTTATATTATTGTAACGGGTGCGTTGTTAACACCTGTACTCACTAATCCTTCATCTCCAGCCTTTTTGCAAACAAAATCTGGTATTCGATTAATTACTTCACTTATTTGGCTTTTCTTTATATTACCACTTGTGATTATGAAAAGAATTAATTCCTTACGGTATTGTTCGGCTATTGGGGTTTTATGTATTCTTTACTTTGTGTTGTGTGTTTGTATACATTCTGGACGTTATGTACATCATAATGGGGTAGCGAAAGATTTGACGTTTGTGAAAACAGGAAATGGGGCATTAGATGGTCTTTCACTTTTTATGTTTTCATTCATTTGTCAATTAAATGCATTTGAAATATTTCATGAAATGAAACGAAAAACTGTTTTTTATTTTACCATTTCTAGTACTATTGGTGTGACTATATGTGCTGTACTTTATTTCTTGGCAGGGTTATTTGGTTATTTAGAATTTGGTTCTAAAGTAACCGATTCCGTATTAACATTATATGATCCTGTAAAAGATCTCATGATGGCAGTGGCGTATATTGGTATTATATTTAAAATATGTGTAGCCTTTGCGCTTCATTTAATTCCCATGCGAGATGCCATTTATCATTGTCTTTCTTGGGATGTGAATACCCTTCCTTACTGGAAACATGGTATTATTATGACTATTCCTGCCTTACTGGCTCTTATTTGTGGTTTATTTATTCCTAAAGTAAATACAGTTTTAGGGCTTCTCGGGGCATTCTGTGGAGGAACGATTGGGATTATTCTCCCACCATTGTTTTTTATGTACTCTGGTGGTTTCTCTGTTAAAGAGGTGGGGATCTTTACATATTGTGCTACGTATCTTATCTTGTTCTTTGGGGTGATTGCAGTTGTATTCGGTACAGTATCTACCGTTAGTGCTGCAGTGAAATCCTCTTTTTAATAATAAGAGAAGAAGAAAATAAAATAAAACTATCATTTCCATCCATATTATGGAAAACAACAGCAATAATATATATATATATATATATTTGAGAGGAAATAAAACAAGTTTGCTTTTTCTCCGTTACAGCGTCTGAAATGAAACACACAAACAAAAAGAGAGAGAGAAAAGAAGGATAAAACAAGATAGGATTATATCCACTTGCGCTTATATATATATATATATATATAAAGAGGTCATATCTATACATAGGTATATATATCTATTTCGTTTTGAAAGTATCTCTTTGTTTCCTTTTTTTCTCTTTTTTTTCTGTGCTGCTTTCCAGAAGAACGATAGTATCCTTTTTTTATTATTATTTGCTATATTTGACATCATTTTACAAGTGTTGTAAACATATTTTCTTTATTAAATAGTTCATTTTATAGTAGAAGAAACAAATAACATATTTCAGAGAATATGAGTAGAACACACACTCTCTTTTCCCCTTCTCACCCTCTAACCTACTTTATGCTACTATGAAAATTCTTTTTTTTTTTTCTTCTTTTTTTGGGATGGACGACGATTACTGTATGCTGTTCACTGTGATTTACACGTGTGTTTGTGAAAGATATTAACTAAGTATACTGCTATTGATCGTTATTGTTTTCTTTTTTTTTTCTGTTCTTTGAGGGGTAATATGCAAAGGAAATGCATTTATATAACCTTTCCATAATTGAAATATATATATATATATATATATATAGCTTTTTTTTTCGTATTTATCACTACTATTATCTTGTTGTAAAAGCATTCAATTTTTTTTTTTCAAATCCCATCCAACGTGGGCCTTCCTCTCCCTGTGTAGAGCAGTGAGTTAAAAGGAAGAGATTTCATTCTTTTTTTTTCCCCCTATTCATATCTACCTTACGATTACAATTGTAAGGAATTAAACAGAACTCTCTCTCTCTATCTCTGCGGTTTTACGTTGTTATTTGCAATAGGAAATAAAAAATGATAATAAAAATAAAAACATTAAACACAATGACTCTGTTTCCACTTTTTTTTATCTTTTTCATTAGGAAATATAAACTCTCATAAGATCACTTCTTTTACCATAGGGCTTAATAGATACATCATACTTACTTTATCTATTACTAACCTAAAAACATTATTTATTGAAGACTTACTCTTCTCTTCTCACTACAGGTAGAATATGTGAATTTAGTGGACTCCAGAATATCTTTTAGGAAGAAAAAATAACCATTCTTGTAAACATGATTGTTTTCACATATTCCTTCGCGTCCCTCAGTGTCTTGTTGACATTTGTACTCTTCCTCGGTATGGGATCTGCTGAGCAAGAGTGTAGGGGAGCAGGTAGTGTGGTGTGAGAGGCACTGAAGTGTATGGGTATACATTTCTGTTGTAACTGATCATTCACACACACACAAAAGCATTCACACACGGAAAGCCCATATATGATTTTGCGTATATTAGTTGAATATACCCTTTTTATGCAAATGTCGTTTGGTTTTATTATTCGTATTAACCTTTGGAATGAGCGTATTTCACTTTTCTTCTTATATTTACATGGTTTGGGTGTATACTAGTGCATTGGTGTACCTGAAGAGATATCCCTCGTGATTAAACGGTATTTGCTGCCTTGGAGATTGTTTTTGTGGGATTGGTGTTGGGTTTGTTTCTATCCTACATATGGGGATTGTGTCCTGCATGAACAGCTAGTGTACACTTGAGTATTGAGACTTGTAGGGGTGTGTTGGGCAGGCATTGTGTTTGCATCTGTGTACTTCTCTTCTCCCCTGCTGTTGCTTGTCTCCTTTGCGCGGTATACGCAGTAGTGATGAAGAGCGTGAAGAGGCGGCGTCTTGCACCTTGTGGTGTTCTTGCCGGCCTTATTGCACTTATTGCTGTTCTTGTTTTCCTTCCTTTGGCAGTAATGAACATTGGTGGGCACACTAGTGTGGATCACACGGAGCTACCACCCACAACCGTTGGGTTACCAAACCCTAAGGTGGTGCCTCCATTACGGGAGAATATATCCATGGCGGAGTTTCTTCGTTTTATTCCATCCACTGTGGTGAATACATGGAAAGAGAGGGACTATCTCATTGTGTTTGGCATCCCATCTGTGGATATTCATGATTGGCGGAGACGCCGTTATCTGCAGCGGACTACGTGCTGGCAGTTCCCTGGTGTTGCACGGAGGGCGAATGACTTCACTGGTGCCATGTTGGTGTTGTATGTACTTGCACGGCACCCATCACAGGGATATGAATACTCTACTGCCTTGATGAAAGAGGCTGAAGAGTGGCATGATATTATTTCTCTCTCTATTAAGGAGGGATCTCCATCGAGTAATAAAACAGTAATGGGTTTAGGCTTTTGGGGTTTGGAAACTGAAGTGGGGATGAGTCGAAAGACGTATTTATGGTTTGAGTTAGCCCTTCATCTCTTTCCTAATGTGAGTTATATTGCCAAAGGTGATAATGATATGTTTCTACGAGTACCACAGTTTCTTGTGGATCTACGCACACTTCCACGTAATGGTGTTTATTGGGGTTCATTAGGTCTTATTGAGGTACCCGTGGTTTTCCCGTTAATGGTTGGTTTCTGTGTGACGATATCAGTTGATGTAGTGAAGCGAATGATGAAGTATGAGTCTATACGACGATTGGTGTATTTGCCATTCAACACGGCATTGGAGGCGGAGTACCGTGCATTAAATATGGATCATGAAGATAATATGATTGGCCGTATTATTCATGAGATAAAATACCCAGAGTTGTTATTGGTGCGAGAGGGAAGATGTTCTTTCCATGATCTTCACAAAGGGGCAAGAAAACACCCATTGAGTAATGCATCTGTTGTCATTCATCATATTAAGGAAAAGGAATATAAAAAATTGATGATTTATTTTAGTAAAAATATGACCATTGTGCCTCGAACGTATTCAAAGATGCCAAGGTCTATTTGGTTTACTTGCTTAAAATAACTAGTGTGTCTTTTTTTCTTGTATATCCTTTGTAGTTCTCTTCTTTACGTGTTTCGTATTATATGATTTAAATTGGTTGTGTTCATGTCTATTTTGCATACAATTGTAGTTTTT